CTTTGTCTTGTGAAGGTTTGTCACTGTGCCTGAGTATTATATTGACACTCCACTCCCCTGTTCTTTTCTTTTCTGCCCTCTCTCTGTCACTCTCGCCATTATTCTCTCCCTCTCTTCCTCTATTTCTGCTGCCTTTCATCATCCATCTTCAACTGTATTCCCCCCGTCACCCCCCCCCCCCTCTCTGCTTTCAATCTCCGTCCCCTTGTATTTTTTACCGCCTCATTTTCTGTCACTCTTTTGTCTTTCTTTCTCATCGATTCTCCACTTCCCCTTTTTTTCTCATTATGACTCCTGTTTTCTTATCTTTACTACGTCACTTCTTTTCTCCCTTTCTCTTCCCCCAACTCTCTCTCTCTCTCTCTCTCTTTTTTTTTTTTTAAAGACCCCACGGCCATGTCGACAACTTCGAGCGTGGACCATGCGGTGATCGGAGGGGTGGTGGCTGTGATCGTCTTCATCCTGCTCTGCCTCCTCATCGTCCTCGGCAGATACCTCATCAGACACAAAGGTCACCTGCTCACACACACACACACACATGAACACACACACATGAACACACACTGACACACACTCATGCATGCATGACCATACACCAAGATACACTTACATAAATATGGATACACGACCTCACGCACAAACATGCATATGTATTTGAATGCAGGGGCACGCAGACATGCTAATGCTCTCACACCTTCATATGTATTCTGAGCATAAAGTGCACGCACTTCTCTCTCAGAGCTCAGTAAGATGATGAATGAATGACAAAAGGTGAATGTGTATTCATTACTCCTTTAATACATTTCCACATCATCCTCTGTGAAAATAGATTTCCACGATGTCAGCAGCTTATTTTCAATTTGATGCTCATGTATGTGATTTAAAGTGAAGCGGTGGAAGCACGGTTGTTTTTTTCTGGGCCTTGATGTTTGTTAGTTTCTCTGTTGTTTATGTGCTGTGTGAGTGGGAGACATCAAAATATAAGAGTTTCTTTAATTTCACTCTAATGCAGGGCTCAATTTTTTTTTCTTTAAAGTGTGAACAAACGAAACAAGCACATTGTCAAGTGGGGCTTGTTTCTGTAGTAAATGTTCAATTAAGAAATCGGGAAACAGACCGTGGACCGTCTTGGATCGTGGTCAGACAACACGGCAACAGAACACACATGGCTGACAAATTGCTGACCAAGTATTTATCTAACCCTAGACTTCCAATAGGCTGGAAAGAAGACCTTGTACATCTCAGACATTTCTTCAACCTCAGAGAATCACATTTCCTCTTCAGCTCACATGAACAGACACTTGGCTCCAATCCAAAATAACTCTGCCGCTCTGAGATGTCACACACATTATGTATTACAGCTTCACAATCCTAAGAGAAGAATCACCCTGAGATGGTTTGACAGAATGAAATGATATATCCACAAAATTATCAAGATGAATGAATTCATGAACATTTGTACGAACACACATCGATATGCTCATAAAGTTTAAAAGACATGATTCGACACTTTTCACCATCAAAGTGCTCCAGATTTATTTTTTTTAAAAGCCTGGTCGTGCTCTGCAGCTTCTCCTCACTATTGAACACAGCTGCTTGGTGGCCAGTGTTCTGTGAGGGATTATGTCCTTGTTGCTCGAGTCGAAGAAACCTGTGCAGTGATGGACTGATGCTCTGCTGCCTGCATGTGTTAAAAGTCTGCAGGAGAGCGATTAAAGGGACTGTACTTTAGAAACTGACGTGCATTTACAGAAAAACACTCTGGACAACTACGGATTCCTAAATGGACACAAATCGATAACGAGTACATTTAGTTTTTTGTTTTTCTCAAAATCTAAAGTTATTTATCTCATTATCTCGGGATGTCACAAGTGCTTTTCCCATGATTAAGAGCACTTTTTTAGACTTGTTTTAACAGGCAAACCAGCATTGTTATCATGAGAAAATAAGATGAGTAAGTTGACATCGTGAGCAGACAACCAAAATACTTGATGAATTTCCTTCCTAGGATTCCTTAAAAAACAGATTTACAGCTTCAAAACAAACTGATAAGATCATCTTAAGTTAAGCTCCTCTAAAGCTTTTTTTTCTCAGAGCTTTAAACAACATTTTCTGTCTTCATCAGTCGTGATTAGAGTATATAAACATTGCAAAAAAAGGTAAGGAAACTTGGGTTTGGCAAGATTTGGCAAATAGAGGAATCTTTAGATTTAAACAGGAGGGCAACAGAACACTGAGCTCCATGTGAAAGAAAACAAAAGCTTTATAGACGTTGAAGTTTCATATAAACCTTTGTTTAAACTGTTTTTGTTTTTTTGGCTTTTTGTGCCTTTATTAGAGAGACAGGACAGTAGATAGAGTCAGAAATCAGGGAGAGACAGAGAGTGAGGAATGACATGCGGGAAAGAAGTCACAGGTCGGATTCAAATCCGGGCCGCCCGCTTGGTGGACTATCTCTGTACATGGGTGCCGGCACTAACCACTGAGCCACCAGCGCCAGTTTTAACTGTTTTAAAGTTATGTTCCTGTATGCTGCATATTTCAGCAGAAAGCAGGTCCACACTAAACTTTAAAACAGAGTCATTGTAAGGCTGTGGATGAATACATGTGACCCTAATGCCGGCATATTTTTACTTCTCAACAACCCAGTTTTTAACCTAGATGTCTAGACTTCTCTGGACCTGAAGGCCAAATTAATTCCCCCAGGGTCCATTGTCTGTTTTAAAAAAAAATTTTTTTTAGTTCTGACAATTATTACCAAAAAACCTTTCACATAGAACCTCTTTAAATAAAAATCTCAGTATGGTACCCACATAAACACGGCTTTTTAATAGTTATTCTGTGTACTTCAGGTCCCCCAGCAGGGAAAAATACAACTTTTCAAAATGTATTCACCCACATTAAAGGCCAAGGAAGCAGCAAATGTTGACAAAAAACACCTGAAGATATAATTAAGACAATATTTTGATCGTTCTCACCTCTCTGCTGTTTGTTACAGTCGCTGCCCTGCTGGCCTTTTGTCATGTTACAGTTCCACTCTTCTACTGCCTCAGCAATCTTATTTCTTATCCCCTCTTACAGGAACGTATCTGACCCACGAGGCCAAGGGCTCGGACGATGCTCCCGATGCGGACACGGCCATAATCAACGCAGAAGGAGGCCATTCTGGAGCAGAGGACAAGAAGGAGTACTTCATTTAGACGGAGGGGAGAAAAAAAAGAGGAGGAGGGGAAAGACGGAGGACGTGGAGGAGAGGAGAGGAGAAGAGAGGGGGAAGGAGCGAAGGGAAATAAGAAAAAACCTCCATTTGTTTTCACTACGCTTCAGTTCTTCACTCGGTTGGAGGGTTGACGGACGGGAGGGGAGGGGGAGGGAAAGAACTGTGGGCAGGATCGAGCGACGAGTCGAGCTTCAACTGGTACTACCCTCTTTGCATTGATACAGGGAAGTGAGATTTGCACTGACATACGGACGAACTGAAGTCACACACTCCAACACACACACACACACACACGCATGCACGCACACACACACACACACACACAAACATACACACAAGTCATTTGTGGGAGGGGGGGGTGATATCTTCTCCCACAGACTTGAACAAACACGAGCCTCCTACTAACATGTCTGAATGAATCATCAACACATTTTTACACAAGCATCACGTCCCATTTCTAACTTGTCAGCGCCTCGGAAAAAAAAAAAAGAAGCAAAAATTGTAACTCACATTCCGGTTTCCTGAGCTGATATTTCACTTTTCACGCCTCCTCCTCCTCCTCAACATTTAAACCTTAAACCAGCTCTGTCTTTCCACATGTACCCATTCCCCTCCATCTAACAAGGCAGTATCCCTCTGTAAACATCCCCGTGGTAGAGAAATCCTTCCAAAGCATATTATGACTGACAAACGTAATCTCCCTCCCTCTCGCCGTTTAATCTTTTTATACCATCAAACCTCTTTTCCTCCGAGTCCTCGCAGACCCCCCCCTCCCCCCCCGATACGACGCCGTCGAATTTCCCACAGCGCAGCAACCCATACAACATGCAACAACACAAATAGCATTCCCGCCTTGTGCTACCAAGCTGAGGGGCTCCAGTATACATATATAAATATATATATATAGAATTATATAGCATTCTTTTTACTTGACAGAAAATGTTTGGTGTGCTGTAAATACACAATCTCTCTCTTTCTGTCTGTCCTTCTCTCTCTCTCTCTCTCTCTCTCTCTCTCTCTCTCACAGTCTGTTACTGCAGTACAGTAACTTATATACTCGGAAAAAAAAGAAAAAAAAAAAAAAGAGAAGCCTGCCTGTTTTTATTACATGCGTGGAAATGCAGAGTCGAAACTATCAATATCTGGGGGGAAAAAATATGAAAATACCGACGATGACGATGAACTAACCTTAACCGCAAATAATTTGTATGAGGAACGTTCTTGTTTTGTTGATTTCTTTTTTTCATTTGGGGACTTAACGAGAGATTTTTTTTTTTCTCTCTCCTCGGTGTCTCAGTGTGTTACCGTTCCAGTGTTAACAGTTTACAGTGTCCGTCTCTTTGTCAGTCTAGGAGTCCATCAATCTGATTTATAACTTGAATTTTCAGTTTTAGAAATACACGTTTGGTTTATTTCGTAATCCTTTTTTTTTTGCGCAACCTTCAGTGCCGACCATTTTTCATCCAACAATGTCTGCTCCCCAAACACGAAACTGTAGCAAAACCTCGTTCGAACATTGTTTCAAAAAGGGTGTCAAAAGTGTTTGTCGGAGTCTTAAGCCACTCGGGGGGCCCCCAATGCCGAACATTCACTCGGCTGTTTTTTTTTCCCCTCGCAGCAGACTAGTCTGTCTTTGGCGAGACCACCTGGCTCTAGTTCATCGAGCAGTGACATCATGGCTTCCTCTATAAAGCGCTGGCACGGTCCACTGCTCCGGGGAGGTGATAATGCAAACTTTGCTTTCAACAGCAGAGCCAAACCGGAACGCCTACTTGCATTACGACAAAACGTCCTGGCAAAAAATATTTAAAAAAAAAAAAATTCCTTTCTGTATTTGTTTCTTTCACAGTGAGCAGGGGATCATTCTCCAGCTTAACAAAAAGGTTCCCATAAAGAAAGGGCGTTTTATTGAGGGTGGGAGTTAGCTTTGGCACTGGTGAGCTCCACTTGGCCTGGTCATGGAAATTGATTGCAATCTAACTAAGAGGCTCTGGGCTCCAGACTGTTCACATGCCAACGTTTGGCTTGGTGGGCATGGAGCCGAGCCGGAGTCTGGCTGCACTAACATTGAACAAAGTCGTTTAGGAACTTAAACGTCCTTTCCCCCCCCCTCCTCTGCTTCACTCGTCCACTTCTTCTCATTCTTTAATCAATCATCCTGTCTGCGTCCTGATCCACCTTCACCCTGCCTCTCCCCTCCTCATCACTCCGTCTTCCCTCCTCTCTCTCCATCTCTGATCGATGTCTGATTCTCATGCTGGTCTCGCTCTCAATCAGGAGTCCACGTAGACATACAGTAGAAGTAGAGCCTGTAGGCTTGTTTGCGCGTGCTAACGGCTCTCTGCGGCACTTTTTCCAAGTGTTCATAGGAGAGGAATCCATTTGCTGTTGTCCGTCGACCCGTAGACAGTTAAGTCTGTGATAGTTTTTGTACAACCTTTTATTTTTATTTTTGGGGAATGTTCAGGGATTGTGCTTTTCTGTACCTTTCCCCGCATTGTTGCTAACCTAGCTAGCTAGCTGCTTGGAAGTCAAGCAGCCTGGTTAGTGTGTCTATAAGCTAGCTAAACTTCTAAAGGGTAATGTGACCTGAAGCAAGGGTCGGCTGTTTTTGATCCTTTTTATTTACTTTGGAGGAATGTGGGTTGGCTGTGTAAGCCGACGCTGCTGTAAACTTGGCTAACAAACAGTGTTTTGAATTCCGCCGGAGGCTATTTGGACGTGAACTCGACAGCTTTAAACAAACTCGAGATGAATTGTTGGGAGGAATTAGAGCAGTGCTTACCCTGTGTTAGCGCTGCGACAGCTTTAACAGCGTTCATGTCTGCAGACCAGAGGACGGGCTTCGTCTCAGAGGGGTGACTCGCCCCCCTTCGAAGAGAAATCTTTGATTTGTATTTAACCCCAGTCTAATCCTGCGAATGGAGAAAAAGGAAAAACCTGCCTCATACTCAACAAAGTGTAGTGTCTTTTTCAAAACTAATGGACCTGTATTTGCCTGTAACTTATCGTCCTGTCCTTCGTCTTAGTTAATGTGCTAGCATGTAGCTTGCATGAGAAACGGTTGGAAATGTAGATAGTGTCGGAAAAAGATGAGAAGTGCCGACGAGCTCCCTCTCCCGAGACGAGAGTGGCGGCCGGGCCCCGGCTGACCTCCCTGCTGTTCTCTGATCTGCAAACATGGGGCCATGACCCAGTTAGACCCACGAGTACAACCCCTCAAAGCTGTGGTGCTTGGACTAACACGATGAAAAGTGGTGAAGAAGTAGGACTCCTTCTGCTTTTTTTTCTTCTCTCCCAGCCACTACTATATTAAAGCTAAATCGGGGTAAAGTGGCGTTAAATTGGGACATGCAGTCAGCCTAATTCATATTTCATTGCATCAGTGCGGTATTGACGAGCTGTCACCACATTCTAGCAAACAGCGGAGTGTTTTTTTTTCTTTTCTCCTCTCCCTTAATTCAGTCAGTCCGAGCTGTGCTGCCCCAACACTTAACCTTCACCGCCATCTCTTCAGGCAGTCGCACGCCACCTGCCACTCATCTCTCCTTTTTGTAGTAAACAAATTGACTTTTAAATTATGGGTTTTAAGAGGTGTGCATAATCTTTTTTTCGTGCAGTTCATAATTATGTTTTTTTTTCCTTTTCTTTTAAAAAACAAAAATTGATTTCCCAAAACTTGAAGTTAGTACATTTATTTTGGCGTATTTGATTGTTTCAGCAACCACTTTGATATAATTTCATGTATATACTGTAGTGTTGCCTTTACTCTTTCAAGCGCACCCGTACACACTTAGCACACACACACTTTGGGTACATACACATCCACACACATATCTGGATATGCACGCAGGCATGATGTCTGTGACTATGGTGTATTTGTACATATGTGTGTGTATGTGTATTTGTGTATGAGTGTGAGGTGTGTATTAATTGACCCAAACAGACTCCGGAGACACTCTTTGTGTATGTTGCGTTCACAAGAAAAACCCTTTTTTTATTTCGACGACTAAAACCACGTGTCTGTTTTTAGGAATTATTATTTTGGATGAAAAGTCTTCCTTTTGAATAAATATCCATATCATATGAAAACAGTGCTGTCATGTATGTCAATTTGTACTATGGCTGATGATGTCTTCAAGACGAGTCCTGACCGCATGCTGTGGTGGGTTTGCGTCTGTTGGCTGGTATGTTCATACAGAATTTGTTTGATTTTATTTTTGTGTTCAAATACCAGTTCAGTTGTTGACTTCAATAAACATGCATTTGGGTTAATTTCACCTGTGTTGTTGTTGGTTCTTGCTGTTCATGAACTTTAACAATGTGATGAAATGTTCTGGTGTATTACAAGGTAAATGGACTTCAGCTTGTATTGAACGTTTCTAGTAGTTTGACTACTCAAAGTGCTTTTACACTGCAGGTCACACCTACACATTCACACACTGTTGCTCTGTAAAGTGACCATCAGAAGTAACTAATCCCATTGATACACATTCATACGCTGCCAATGAAGCAGCAGGAGCAACTCGGGGTTAAGTGTGTTGTCCAGGACACATCGGACATGTGGCTGCAGGAGCTGGGGATCAAACCCCCGACCTTCAGGTTGAGAGACGACCGACTCTACCAACTGAGCCACAGCCGCCCCAATTCTTACAGTGTGTTACCGTCCTGTTGCTGAACCTTGAAATCAATATGCATGTCAAGTAGGACATCAAACCTACTTACTGTACACCTCACTTGTTTATTTTGCATTTGTTTGTTTGTTACAAGTCAGAGAGCCATCACCAGAGATCGAAAATACCAAATACACAAGAGAAATGAGTATTTTGTTCTGCTTCATTTGGGATTTAAGGCTTGTTACCTTCTTGAATGTCTTCAGTGTTGAAGCGTATAACCTCTTCCAAACAACTTATTTATACAGTATAGTCTTGAAACATCACAATATTGAAAGACAATATGATAAAATCACATTCACGTTCAAATCTTCAAATTCCTATGCTTTAAATATCATATCATATCATATCATATCAAACATCCACCGGTCTCAAAGGTTAGATGTGTTCCTTTTTTTCACAAATAGTTGTTTCCTTGGTGATCTTGTTCACATTGTCCAAACATTTTCTTATTAATTATTAATGAATATAATAAAACAGCCCATAAACCCAACATCCAATGTAGAAGTTCTCAACAGGTTTTCAAAGGCCGGACTCGTTCTATTTTTGTCCCATGCAGTTAAAGCAGTCGCCCAACAGAGGGCAGTACAATGCAATAATTCAAAGTCCCCAGTTCAAAACAAAAGAATGAACCACAGTTGAATTCAGTTAAATAACATGTCATGTTAACAGAAGTATTTTATTCTACAACAAATGATACAATTATTTCCTTCTGTTTTAACACATAAAAGTACATCTGCTTCACAGTTTTTTGACCTTCTTCCTCTTTCCTTTTGTTGTTCTCTTTTTCTCTGTGGTTTCCTTTCATCCCTCTTATCTCTCCCCTTCCTCTGCCCTTTATGGACTGAGGTTTGGGGAATATTGTTACCACATGTTTATACCCGTACACGGGTTATTAATCCGCCTAACACTGTCCACATGCTACTAGTTAATTACACGCTAAGTAGTCACAGTCCTCACACAGACGGATGTTCATAAATACATCCAGCTGTTTGAGGGTGAAGGACTGAGCGTTCATACTGACTCATTCTATGTACAAAAAAAGAGTCCTGTAATTTAAAACACAATCAGTTTCCATCAAGGTTATATCATTCAAATATTGCTATCATCAAATGCACGCTCTTCAATGTCGCCGTATTTCCAGACTGTTTAGTCATGTTAGTGTCAAAGTGATATTATAACTATGTTTTCTTTAAATATTTGAAAGAATTGTGTTTTCTTTTTTCATTTTAAACCCAATAAATTCCAGAAACCTACTTTCTACTTGTAATGGAAATAGTTTTCTGTTACTTAGATACTCTTGTTATGCTATACTGTAAGAAACATACAGAAAGGTAACCAAAAATTAAAAACAAATTGTCACATTGGATTTCACTGTGGTGTCATGATTTGGTCTTATTCAGTTTTGTATTTCAGCGTTTAGGTTTCCATGTTTTCATTTCTCCTGTTTATCCTAGTGTTGCTTGTTTCCCTTGTGTGTTTTTGTCCTAATGTTTTATAGTTTAGTCTTTAGTGTTTCGTGTGTTATTTTGTAACTTCATACTTTAGTGTTTCTTTATGTTCTAGTGTGTTTTTGTTACTTTCTTCAGTGTTTCATGACTTATTTTGTAGTTGTCCTCAGTGTTTCTTGTATTCCTGCCTCTGTGTGTTTCCCAGTGTGATGGCCCTGATTGTCCTCACCTGTGTCTTGTTAGTCTCACCTGTGTCTGATTACCCCTGTGTCTATTTAGTTTCTGTGTTTCGTCCCCTTTGTGTCAGTTGTATGTTGTTTGTTGGTGGTTTTGGGTGGGTCCCATGTCCTATGCCAGACCTCTGCTTACCAGTGTTTCATGTTTTTTGACTTCTAGTTTTTGGCTTTTGAAGTAAGTTTTCATTTTGCCTTGGACCTTTTTGTTTATTAAATATATTTAGTCAATTCTGCACGTGGGTCCAGTTCCTTGTTTTTCCCCTGAATGTGACATGTGGACCATTTTAGTTAAGACAAAATGTTGTAAATAAATTCATGCCTAGTGGGTCAACTACAAGGTATTAGCTTGACAAATATTTTAAAAGGAAGAATGATAACTCGTACAATAAATGTAGGCCTTATATCATTTTGCTACAATGACACCTCCATTACACAAGCAGCCCCTTAACATCTTTAAACAAAGGTCATCAAAATGTTCCTCCTGCAACACTGTGTGATACCTCACATTGTCAAAGGATAGCCTATACTGGCCTTCATATATGTTGATATTGGTGTGAGTGACTCTGCACATGTTACTTCTGATGATTGAGAGTCACTTCTAATTAGACTAAATGTCCCACACCTGAGCACACACAGGAGGCGGAGCATTGTCTACTTAGGATCACGGTGGGGAAATGTTCAAGAACACGTTTGACAAAGACTCAGAGGGAACAAAATGTTGTGATTTATTTCTAATGAATTGGTGATGCCTAGCGAGAATAGTGTGCGGGTTGTTTTCTTTTCAAAGTTATATGTATTTGAATTTTTACAAGCAATTTTTACCTTACGGGTAAGACCTGGAGAGGAACAAACCCAAACAAACCCAAACAAAAACTGTGTATGTTAACATTGTTCAGGCCTAATAAGGGCCCCTCCCTTCATTTGGAGCCCTGAGTGGTCAGTCCCACGTTTCTTTCCCCTCCACCATGATGCCCATGTCCCTTAACATCACAATAAACAAGGTAAACATTTGTCATTTTTGTTCAAATTCTGCTAATCTGCTTTATCATGACTGCTTCACCTGAGTGTGTGCAACTCAGGCGGACACATTTTGAGTCACATGTTTCAACAATGTGATGGAGCTTGCATGTACATACATCAACTTTCTCTGTGTATGCTATCTTGAACCAGTAATAAAAGCTGGGACGATGACAGAAATACAGAAATCATTTGTTTGAAATCATAAAAAAAAAAAAAAATGTGATGCAGAAATGTTGTGTTAATGAAGAACGCCTTTCTCACAAAAACAAGCTAATTGGAAAAGTAGTTATTAGTGCTGTCAAATTAGGCTACATGTTCCATTTTTGTTTGTAGCCATCTTGTTTGTTTACAAGTTTAACAGTAACAGAAATGCTCATATAGATATCAACTAAAATGTTGTCAAAGCCTCACTCACTGAACTCTCATGTTCAAAGCGCAGTTCTCGCTGCGTCCGCTGGAGCGCCCTCCACCTCCTCTCTGTGTTGTCCAAATCGGAGATTTTGGAGAGGGGAGGAGGTGGAGGAGATGGTGGAGGAAAGAGGGAGGGGGTGTGTGCTACTGATTGTATGAAAGGAGGGGGGCAGAGAGGGTAGAGAGAGAGAGAGAGAGAGAGAGAGGAAAAGAGGGAGAGAGGAATTCAGTCCTGTTTAAATGGGAATCTGGAGCGCAGAGAGGAAAAGAGACGCAGACTGATAGGAGCAAAAAAAAAAAAAGTGGAGAGAGATTTGTTTTACGCACGGGAAAAACAAGGAAACGAGTAGAAAAAAGGAAAAGAGGAGAGAGGAAAAAAAGAGACATTGGATTTTTTTTTGCTCCTCTAAATTTGGCTTTTTTCACTCTCATGACTCAAAGAGGATTCCAGCTAAAGTCACCCGCTCGGGAGGAATTGATGGTGTCTTTTCGGGGAAGCAGAGCCGAGGGGAGGAATCTGACTGCGCTCGGCTGAACCATGCCAGCCCTGTGGATCATAACTTTGGCGATCACTTTGAACCAAGGTAAGAGATGTTGAAACACTCACAAAGTTTCCCTGTTCAATGCCCTTCTCTTCTCCTTTATATACCCTGCCTCTTCACCCTGCTCTGTGCGCTTTGTGGGTGTCTTTCTGTCTGCTCTCTGGCTCTGCATGTGTGTGTGCTTCTGTATGTCTGGCAATGTGTTATGTTGTTATAGATTTGTGCTGCCCTGGACATCATCATTACAGCCCGCAGGCGCTGAAGGGAAAAGAGTCATGGGGTGTTCAGGGTCTCCGCTCTGCTGGAGGGGGGGGGGAGGAAAAAAAATGAGATTTTGAGTGCTGACACAAACGTTGCGTTCATTTTTCTTCAATTACACGTTCACGAGAGAGATGTGCAGCATCTGCACGCGACATTGCTTTGACGTGACCTTTGCAACGCATGAGCGGATACATTCGGTTGACACAAACAAACGCAGCGTGGGTCAGCACAAGATGTGTTACAAACACACGCACACGCATGGGCACACGGACACACAGACACGCACACGTACACACACGCTCACACACGCATGGGCACACGGGCACGCACACACGCACACGTACACACACGCACATACACACACGGACACACGGACACACACACACGCACGCACGCACACACACACACAGACATACACGCTCACACACACACACACACACACACACACACATACAGCCCATAGCTGCCAACTGGGGATGATTGATGAGGCATGGATCCAATGCACAGTCTGGCTTTAACATGTGTCACACAAGATCAATTTCCAACACACGTGCACACACAAAACTGCACACACGCGCCAGGTATGTTCATTCCTTAAATCAGAGTTGTGTGTGTGTGTGTGTGTGTGTGTGTGTGTGTTGTGTGTGTGTGTGTGTGTGTGTGTGTGTGTGTGTGTGTGTGTGTGT